GCCTGGAGGTGCGGAGCCTGGAGGTGCGGAGCCTGGGGGTGCTGAGTCTGGGGGTGCTGAGTCTGGGGGTGCTGAGCCTGAGCGTGCTCCACCTGGAGGAGCCCTCTCCTCCCAGCAGCTGCAAGAGAGGTACCTCGAGTACTGCCGCCTCCCGAGAGGTGCTTCTGGAGCTCGTCCCGGTACTTCCCCTCCTACCCAGGAGCTCCCCCCCATTCAGGTGATCCGCGAGTGGTACACGCGGCGCTGCAGTCTTCGTAGTGGTGCTCCTGGTGCTGCGGACCCGAGCAGTGGTGCTGTTGCTGGTGCTGAGGACCCGGACGCTGGAGCTGCTGCTGGTGCTGAGGACCTGGGGGCTGGAGCTGCTGCTGGTGCTGAGGACCCGACCGGTGGCGCTGCTGCTGGTGCTGAGGACTCGGGCGTTGGAGCTCCTACTGGTGCTGAGGACCCGGCCGTTGGAGCTGCTGCTGGTGCTGAGGACTCGGGCGTTGGGGCTGCCACTGGTGTCCCTGCTGCTTCTGGAGACGCTGCGCGGCCGCGACCGTACTTCGTACCGCTCCTTCAGCAGGTTCTTGGTCAGGCTCCTCCTCCTAGTCCTCCTCCCTCCGTCGAGTGTCCTCTGCCTGTCCAGCCGTAGTCACAGTTACCGCCTGCCTCGCCTCTCCCTGCTCCCTCCCCTTACGCTGGTCCCACAGGAGGTCTTACAGAGCGTCGTGAGCCTGAGTCTCGTCCTGCGTCGCCTGTTCGTACTGCTCGCACTGGTCGTCGTGTCCCACGTGAGCGTCCTCCTCCTGTCCCTGGCACTCACTACATGACTCTGCGTCCCTCCACTGCTCCGCAGCGTGTCCCGCTGCCGTCTCCTCCTGCGTCCTCTCTTCCTACTCTTCCTGACCCGGAGTCTGACTCCCGTCGTGCTGCCAGTCCCACTGTTACGCGTCTCCTCGCTACAGTTGTCACTGACCCGACCTTTGAGTCCTCTGCTGCGTCTGCTCTGGTCGCTGAGTTGGTTGACTTTGCTGCTCGCTGTCGCCTAGACTACGCTGCCAGCCTTGTCGCTAGGTCTGAGTCTGCGTCTGCCTGTCCTCCGTCCGTCGGGGGTGAGTGTGCCCTCGGCACGGACGTCCTTGAGGACAGACAGGAGGAGTTCCACTGCCTTGCTGCTGCTTTGCCCCGTCTCGTGTCCTTGCTAGTTGCCCCTGAGGGAGACCCGGATGCACCAGACATCCCGACCCCACGCTCTTACGCTGAGGCGATGGCGGGTCCCTACTCCTCTCAGTGGCAGACAGTCATGGACGCAGAGATGGCCTCCTGGAAGTCCACAGGCACCTACGTAGACGAGGTTCCCCCTCCTGGGGCGAACATCGTCAGTGGCATGTGGATTTTCAGGGTGAAGCGGCCGCCGGGTTCTCCACCTGTCTTCAAGGCGCGCTACGTGGCTCGAGGCTTCAGTCAGCGAGAGGGAGTAGACTTCTTTCAGACCTTCTCCCCCACCCCGAAGATGACTACTCTTCGGGTGCTGCTGCACATAGCCGCTCACCGCGACTACGAGCTTCACTCTCTTGACTTCAGCACTGCTTTCTTGCAGGGCAGCCTGCACGAGGAGATCTGGCTGCGCCGCCCCCCTGGCTTCACTGGGTCAGTTCCTCCTGGCACCCAGTGGAGGCTTCAGCGGCCGGTCTACGGTCTCCGCCAGGCGCCACGTGAGTGGCACGACACACTGAGGACGACACTTGCGGCTCTTGGGTTCGCTCCCTCTACTGCTGACCCGTCGCTGTTTCTACGCACCGACACCTCGCTGCCGCCGTTCTACATCCTCGTGTACGTCGACGACTTGGTCTTTGCCACTGCTGACACCGCGGCACTCGCTCACGTGAAGTCGGAGCTGCAGAGGAGACACACGTGCACAGACCTGGGTGAGCTGACGAGCTATCTTGGCTTGCGGATCACCCGGGACAGAGCACGGCGCACCATCACCCTGACTCAGTCACACATGGTGCAGCAGGTTCTCCAGCGCTTCCGCTTCACGTACTCCTCGCCTCAGTCCACTCCTCTGCCTACCGGTCACTCGCTCTCAGCTCTGCCTTCGGATGAGTCCGTAGAGCCGAGTGGCCCGTATCCAGAGCTTGTGGGCTGCCTCATGTACCTGATGACCTGCACTCGACCTGACCTTGCATACCCTCTTAGCATCCTAGCACGCTATGTCGCTCCTGGCCGTCACCGGAAGGAGCACATGGATGCTGCTAAGAGGGTGTTGCGCTACTTGTGCAGTACGTCGGGCATGGGGCTTGTGCTTGGAGGGCGAGACCGGGTTGTTCTCACAGGGCACTCAGACGCTTCTTGGGCAGACGACCAGGCTACTCAGCGGTCGTCCCAGGGTTACACCTTCAGCCTTGGCTCTGGCTCAGTTTCTTGGCGTTCTACTCGCTCTTCTTCTGTTCTCAGCTCCAGTTGTGAGGCTGAGATCTACGCCACAGCCATGGCTGCTCAGGAGCTACGCTGGCTGACCTACCTGCTGACCGACCTCGGAGAGCGGCCTCGTTCTCCTCCAGTGCTGTACGTCGACAACAAGGCTGCCATTGCCTTGTGTGAGGAGCACAGACTGGAGCACAGAACGAAGCACATCGCTCTGCGGTACTTCCTTGCTCGAGAGCTGCAGCAGCGTGGTCAGCTTTGTCTGCGTTACGTGGCCACGGAGGCCAACACTGCTGATGTGTTCACCAAGGCGCTTCAGCCTTGTGACCATCAGCGCTTTTGCACGCTGCTAGGCCTTGTACCTACTGGGCCTCACTTGCTTACCTCTTGACCTTGCTTGTACTGTGATCACTATATATATATGCCTACTTGTTTACTTTTGCTAGGTTGTGATCACTGTATCTCTTGCTTTGTTATAAACCTGCATGTGAACTGGTCTTGTGACCGCTTGCTTGTGCTCGGAATTTGTGTGGAATCCTTGAGATCCACCCTGAGCTTGCTTTGCTTTGCTTTGACTGGTCTTGTGACCCTGTGGTTGTCTCCCACTGCGCCTATGGGGGTGTGTCAAACATTGCATGTTTATATTATGTAGGCTGTAGTGGGTTACACCTTAGGGGGTACTCAAAGTTAGGGTTTCCTACTTGTACCAAACTCTGTGCTAGTTCATCCCATTCCTGCTCAGTTATTCTGACACTTCTTTCGGAGGAGTGCGTCTCGCCAGCCAATTAAAAATAATCCACATGGAGTTCTTGCGTTTTTCCTACCCAGGCTTCATCCCAAAAAAGTCCCCCGCAAATTTCTACCCCAAGGTCACATCAGGGTTACCCCGATTAGTGATACCCCAGTGTCGCCAACAGTGATACCCTAATGTTACCCCCAATCGAAGTTCAGTTCGTTGTCACACTGAGGTGACCCCACGCGGTGACCCACAAGTCACAAACAAGTTACCCCCCGAGAAGTTGGGGCCCAATCGCGGGAGTTCCCGCTTCTCGCGGACCCAACTCGAGCGCGAGCCGCATCTGCGTTGTAGAACTCATCGCTTGAAGCTTAAATGCTGTCTACAGCGATTAATTATTTTTTCCCTGCTATATTCTACGCGATCAGAAAAGAAATCCCAATATAACCGCAATCATTAATGATAATAAATAACCGCCAAGAACCTTAGTTTTGGGGGTTGGACAGCTAATAGTTAGAACATGGTTGCAAAAGCAAATTACTAGAGTATTGTTTACTTAATATTGGAAATCGAACATCAACAAAATTCCAGTGAGACAATTCATCGTATTTCACTACCATCTGCATGTGCGAAAAACAGATCACAAGATACAGCGTAAACACTAGAAGGTGGCTGACCATGTGGCAGATCTTCCAATAACGTGTGACACCTGGAAGCAATGGAAAACGGGGAAACGAGGAAACAGCTAATGTCAAGAGGTCGTTAAGGAAGGATAGCTGGAACTAACTCTTAACAATAGCCAAAGCACGAGAGTAGTCAATAGGCAAAACCAAACCGAAAAAAATATCAGTAATCGCAAAAGCGGCGCCGTGAGCCCGTGAGGCAAGAACTCCTGAACGCACACAAAGAAATAAGGAGCGCCAACGGAGCAAAACGGCTGGCAGCCGAATGGAAGTGGCGCGACGTAAAACAGGTGAATTACGGGAATCTTGCTTACCTCAAAGACACATTCTAGACCTCCACACATGAGCTCCTGGCACGAAGGCAGACGACTCCTGAAAAGAAACACACATGGCGCGAGGAAACAATAAGCAACTGACGATATGAAAGCACATTAACATGCACGCCTAAGAGCGCCAGGGTATTGACGTGGCTTAACAACCGAAAGAGTAAACGAGAATCCAAGATACTTATCGTTCAAGCATAATCTCCAGCAAGGTATAGGAAAGCTAGGGAGCGGAAAACACGGACATGGCGGCGAGCTAAGAAATCCTGGAACTCTACCAGCTTGGCAACACGAAATAATGACCGAAGTGGGCGAGATGGGTTTGTGAAATACATACAGGGGGGACTCTTTCCCTGGGGTGACTAGGACAAATGTGATTGGTGCACGAAATCCTTGCTGCCACCTAGCGAAACACATCAGTAGAACCTCAATACAGAGAATCCAATACAGAGAATCTCGATATATCGAAATAAGTGGTGATCATAGCTGCTGTTATCATGATAAAAACGTGTACAATGCCTGGGGTCAGCTGTGGTTGCCGAAACAGTGTGCACTAACCAGGTGAGCAGGCTCGATCCGAAGCTGCGGGGGTATCCCCTGGTTTACAACGAACTGGAGCTCTCCCCTGATTGGTCCGCTTTCATCACCCGAAATCCCAATCGCGAGAATTACCACTTCGCAGCGATCACCAGCCCTCTGGGGTAACCTGCGGGAAAGTGGATGGGAACATCAGGGTTACCCCCCGAGTGTGACCTGGGGGTATCCCACTCTTTCCAGCCGATATCGGCCTCGTGATTTTTGGGATGTTCGGGTGAACCCAAGAGGAAATCTAGGCCTACAGTAGTCGAGATGGTTCTGCACGAACTGTACGGCTCGTTGCGGACTCCGCTCCCTATACGCTATCACCGTACGGATCCGTGCAGTTGCCCGAAAGGAGTCGCTCCCTGTGAGGCTATCACCGTACGAATCCGTACAGTTGCCCGATAGGAGTCGGATGCAACGGCCCGTTCGTACGGCTCACCTTGGTGATCCCCCCTTGTTCTGGTGCACACGATTTCCACGCCGCGCGCCGCCGCCACTGGCGATTGGCGGACGGAAAGTACGGTACGGAACCGTGAGGCGGCGCGCGGCGCGCGTCTGCCATGTAGTGTGTGCCCGCGTGGGTCTGCCGCGCTCGTCCACATATCCCTGGGCCTCTAAGATTGTGAGTCACTTCATTTGGCTTTTCAGAGCGCAGTTAGTACAAGCATCCCGCAGCACTGACAGTGAATGTGCCAGAGAGTTAACTCAATCTGAGCGAAAATATAGTTTCCAGTGGCCAACGAAGAAGCAGCCGCGATCAACAGTATGGAGCGCCGCGCCCGCCGCGCATGTCTCCTCTGCCGCCTGCTGCTGTGTAAGCCCTTAGTAGTAGTAGTAAAGGCTCGCTTTCAGTTTTGCATCCGACATTCCAACCGTCACTGACTGCTGTTGAACTTTCTATCGGATGATCCCCGTCGGTCGATGAATGATGGTCGTTGCGTGCCTGCTTGCCCTGCCCGCGCGCCTGCCCGCGCGCCTGCCTGCGTGCCTGCCTGCTTGCCCTGCCCGCGCGCCTGCCTGCGTGCCTGCCTGCTTGCCCTGCCCGCGCGCCTGCCTGCGTGCCTGCCTGCTTGCCCTGCCCGCGCGCCTGCCTGCGTGCCTGCCTGCTTGCCCTGCCCGCGCGCCTGCCTGCGTGCCTGCCTGCGCGCCTGCTTTGCCTGTCGCCTGTCTTTCTTCCTGTCTGTCTGCCTGCCTGCAGGTGCGACGATCTGCACGGCGTACGGCGCGTCGGCCGCATCATTGCTCGTGCAGCCGTTCGTCCCTCACCCCGTGCCGGGCGGCTCTCCTACAGCTTCTGCCGCCGCGGCCGCCGCTTCTGCCGCCGCTGCCGCTTCTGCCGCTTCTGTGGCTAATGCCTCTCAGGCCAAGCCTCTAGCTTCGAAGGGAACGATGTTGTGTAAGTGTTATAGCCGTCAAAGTGATCATCATCTGCTACTAGCGGTGTGTTGGCGCGCAGCCTGTGTGACGGTAAGTATCGTTACTACTGGAATGTTTTTTGTCGGAGAGCCGGTGGTTTTCCAGCTGTGGCCCTTACAACTAACAGTCGGCCCAACGCTGACTGTAATTCGCCTAGCTTTTTTTTGTCTACCAGCTCTTTTGCTGACTTCCCGTTCCCGTTATTGACGGAATCATCGGCCAAGCTGCATCTACCGAACTTCACTTCCCCAGTTTCCCAATCCTTCGCATCTCCCTGTATGCTCATAAGCTCTTCTACCTTTGTTTAGCCTTCCCCTTCCCCTTCGCCTTCCCGTTCCCCTTCGCTTTCCCATTCCAGTTCGCTTTCCCATTCCCCTTCGCCTTCCCATTCCCCTTCGCCTTTCCATTCCCCTTCGCCTTCCCATTCCCCTTCGCCTTCCCATTCCCCTTCGCTTTTCCATCCCCTTCGCCTTCCCATTCCCTTTTGCCTTCCCATTCCCTTCGCCTTCGCCTTCCCATTCCCCTTCGCTTTTCCATCCCCTTCGCTTTCCCATTCCCCTTTGCCTTCCCATTCCCCTTCGCCTTTCCATTCCCCTTCGCCTTCCCATTCCCCTTCGCCTTCCCATTCCCCTTTGCTTTCCCAGTCAGACTCACAGCCAGGCTGCGGCCTACCAAGTGCATCGGGAGAGTAATCGGTGACAAAGGAGCTTCGGGGAAATTTGTTGTCGCGGTAAAGAAGTACGCCCCTGCCCCCTCATTCACTTGTCCCCTCGTTCACTTGTCCCCTCGTTCAATTGCCTCCTCTTTCACTTGCCCCCTCGTTCCCTTGTCCCCTCGAAACCCATCTACGGTTTCGAATCGTCTCAAAACACTCCTCTTGTCCTCGTGCCTGACAGGCTCTCTGCATCGTCCTACACTGTGACCACAAAGTGTGTTGAGACGTCTCAAAACACTCAAAACACTCCTCTTGTCTTCTTGCCTGACAGGCTCTCTGCATCTTCCTACACCGTGACCACCAAGTTTCTGATCAGGAACCTCAAAGGAGGCGATAAACCCGTCTACGACTTCGTACCTTTCTGCACGGAAACTCCCGCATCAACGCTCGATTTCGTGAACGTCACAACTGCCAAGGCTGGGCGGCGCAAGCGCTACAGCTGGAAATACGATTCTGTGCAGAATGCGGACAGTGAGTCCGCGGCTCGCGACGCGGCGGTTACGATTGTGGCGGGTCCATTTGCGATCATAGGTCGTGCAGGTAACAGCCACGCGCTCTACGGCAAGGTTAAGGGATTGCGGAAGGCCTCCCGCGGTTGAAGCATTCGGTTTGGGCGGAAGTGCATGGTTAGGGGTAGGTAGGGCGTCAGGCAGTGGTGATGATTGGAGAATGGAGATGCATATGTGGATGTGCGCGTGCATTGAGTGTAGATGTGGGTGGGAACCTGTAGGTAACATAACATGCCAATGCTGCGTTTATCTTTCCGGGAGAAATGAGAATTGGTCAGACTTAAAAGCACTTGGTTCCTGGCTGGGGAAACCCAGCTTTTGCTGTGAGCAAGTGCCCCTGGTAGCCATGGGGGTGTGTGTTTGGGGAGGTCAGTGGGAGGTGAGGCGTGGGGGGTGGGGTGGGGAGTGGGGAGTAGGTAGTGGGGAGGGCAGTGGGTAGTGGGGAGGGGAGTGGGTAGTGGGGATGGGAGGGGAGTGGGTAGTGGGGGATGGAGATTTTGGAGTGAGCAACACATTCCCCGGGCAGTTCTGGAGAGACTGGGGAGTGGAGTGTGAACGCCCTAGTGGTTGCAGCACAGCCAAGGACCCACAAGGGCACCAACCCATGAACCCATCATGAACTCATCATGAACCCATCATTAACCCATCTACCGTATCAGACTTAAAGCACACAGCCAAGGACCCAAGAGGGCACCAACCCATGAACCCATCATTAAAGCTCGAGTTCCACATGGCATTTTTCAAATTCAAGATTCTTGAATATGAACTCGCCAAAAACCAGGTTACCACCCAAAGTGCAGCTTTCCTTCACAACTCTGATGCATGATTGGCCAGCGACAAAAAAAAGTATTCCGCGTGAAGTGTCAACGGGAGTTGGTCCACTGTTCACCCTCAGTAAACTTGAAAACCAAGTTGTACTTACGTGCAGCCATATTGAGTCTAGCACACGTAGTGCGCTCCGCTTTTCTAGACCACAAGAGCGCGTAATATCGCTTTTAGACAATGGCAGCGAGATGTCTATATCATTGCAGCAGTCTGACGGTTTTCCCCTCCAACGAAAATAATATTAGCCAGCATAAAGAAAAACGTCATGCGTCACGCCCAAATCTACAGGGTCGATGGAGCTCGCATGTTACGTTCGAAGCGCACAGATCAAGCGCACGGATCGGGCACTAGCCTCACTTGTACGTTCGACGCACCCGCTTCCGCCCGTCGCACTCCCTTCCGCGCGCCTGCACTCCCGCCCGTCGCACTCTCTTACGCCCATCAAACTCCCTCCCGCCGTCGCCCTACTGCCCGTCGCTCTCCCTAGCGCTCGTCGCACTCACTTCCGCCGTCGCCCTCCCTTCCGCCCGTCACCTTCCCTTCCGCCCGTCGCACTCACTTCCGCCGTCGCCATCCCCCTTGCGCCCGTCGCCCGTCGCCATCCCTTCCGCCCGTCACCCTCCCTTCCGCCGTCGCCATCCCTTCCGCCCGTCACCCTCCCTTCCGCCGTCGCCATCCCTTCCGCCCGTCACCCTCCCTTCCGCCGTCGCCATCCCTTCCGCCCGTCACCCTCCCTTCCGCCGTCGCCATCCCTTCCGCCCGTCACCCTCCCTTCCGCCGTCGCCATCCCTTCCGCCCGTCACCCTCCCTTCCGCCGTCGCCATCCCTTCCGCCCGTCACCCTCCCTTCCGCCGTCGCCATCCCTTCCGCCCGTCACCCTCCCTTCCGCCGTCGCCATCCCTTCGTCTCGTCGCCCTCCCTTCCTCCCATTGCCCTCCCGACCACCCGCCGCCCTACCTTCCCCTCGTCGCGCTCCCTTCCGCCCGTTGCCCCCCTTTCTCGTCGCGCTCCCTGCTGCTCATCGCCCTCCCTCCCGCTCGTCCCCTCGCAATCCCCGTATCTCTCTCCCCTCGTCGCCCTGGCATTCCCGTCACTGTCGCCCCCAATCCCCTTTCCTGCCTCCCCCAATCCCCTTTCCTGCTTCCCCGTGTCCCTTCCCTGCTTCCCCCCATCCCCTTCCCTGCCTCCCCCAATCCCCTTTCCTGCTTCCCCGTGTCCCCTTCTCTGCCTCCCCCCATCCCCCTCCCTGCTTCCCCATGTCCCTTTCCCTGCTTCCCCATGTCCCCTTCCCTGCGTCCTCATGTCCCTTTCCCTGATTCCCCCCATCCCCTTCCCTTCTTCCCCCCATCCCCTTCCCTTATATTCCCCCATCCGCTTCCCTGCTTCCCCATGTCCCCTTCCCTGCTTCCCCGTGTCCCTTTCCCTGCTGTCCCCCATCCCCTTCCCTGCTGTCCCCCATCCCCTTCCCTGCTTCCCCCCATCCCCTTCCCTGCTTCCCCCCATCCCCTTCCCTGCTGTCCCCCATCCCCTTCCCTGCTTCCCCCCATCCCCTTCCCTGCTTTCCCCCACCACCTTCCCTGCTTTCCCCCATCCCCTTCCCTGCTTCCCCCCATCCCCTTCCCTGCTTCCCCCCATCCCCTTCCCTGCTTCCCCCCATCCCCTTCCCTGCTTCCCCCCATCCCCTTCCCTGCTTCCCCCCATCCCCTTCCCTGCTTCCCCCCATCCCCTTCCCTGCTTCCCCCCATCCCCTTCCCTGCTTCCCCCCATCCCCTTCCCTGCTTCCCCCCATCCCCTTCCCTGCTTCCCCCCATCCCCTTCCCTGCTTCCCCCCATCCCCTTCCCTGCTTCCCCCCATCCCCTTCCCTGCTTCCCCCCATCCCCTTCCCTGCTTTCCCTCATCCCCTTCCCTGCTTTCCCCCATCCCCTTCCCTGCTTTCCCCCATCCCCTTCCCTGCTTTCCCCCATCCCCTTCCCTGCTTTCCCATGTGCATTTCGACATACCAACGCAGGCCCTATCGCTCTTCCACTCACTATACTCTCTCCCCATTCCCTCCCCCTTTGCTCCTCTTCTTCCGCGCGGCAGGCCATCGAAGCACCAAATCCAGCAGGTCTTTGACTGGATCTGCCTTGATACGAACCCGCCACCGCCTCTCCGCCCACTATGCACTTCGGCGGGCCCTGCTTCCCCCTGTCCCTTTTCCCTGCTTCCCCCCATACCCTTCCCTTCTGGTGCCCAATCCCTTTACAATCTTTCCCCCATCCTCTTCCCTTCCCCCCATCCCCTTCCCTGCTTCCCCATGTCCCCTTCCTTGCTTCCCCTTCTCTCCTTCCCTGCTTTCCCCCATCCCATTCCCTGCTTCCCCCCCAACCCCTTCCCAGCTTCCCCCCATCCCCTTCCGTGCTTTCCCCCCTCCCCTTTTCTGCTTCCCCCACTCCCCTTCCCTGCTTTCCCCCATCCCCTTCCCTGCTTTCCCTCATCCCCTTCCGTGCAACCCATGTCCCCTTCCCTGCTTCCCCATGTTCCCTTCCCTGCTTCTTCCCCTCCCCTTCCTGCTTCCCCCATCCCCTTCCCTTCTTCCCCCCATCCCCTTCCCTTCCTCCCCCCATCCCCTTCCCTGCTTCCTTCGATCCCCCTCCCGTCGCCCTCGCTTTCCCCCTCCTCACTCTCTTTCCCCTCTGCTCACTGTCTCCCCTGCACTCTGTTTTTTCCTGCTCATTCTGTACAGGTGCCCAGCACCAGGTGTAGGGAGGGACCCACAAGTCCTGCTTTTTTGCTGCTGTGTATGTTCCGAAGAGTGGGAAAAGACATATTATTGAGTAACTTGCTTCTTTTTTACACGATTGTTGCAGTTCATAGGTGGTCAATGGTCACACTACTCGATGGATCAAAATTTAGTTATAATAATAAACGTACAACATCCCCATGGCCATGTATCATATCTAGTGGTACTATCAAACAACCAACATTCTAGCCGGTAAGCATACAAAGAATGACAACTGACAAGGAAGCAACATGTTTAGGAATAAATAAAAAGACACTCCTGGAACGGGAGACAAAGAGAAGGATGACCAGGGGAAAAGAGGGACAGAGAAACGGAGGAAGGGACGTAGGGAGGAAGAGAGGAACAGAGGAAGGGAAGGATGGATGGATGAAGGGTGGAACAAAAAAATGGATGCAGGGAGGAGAAAAGGACGGGAGAAAGGATGAAGACTGTGATTGAGGGCAGAAGGGAGGAAGTGATGAAGGGAGGAAGTGATAAAGGGAGGAATTGATGAAGGGAGGAAGTGATGAAGGGAGGAAGTGATGAAGGGAGGAAGTGATGAATGGAAGAATTGATGAAGGGAGGAAGTGATGAAGGGAAGAAATTATGAAGGGAGGAAGAGAGGTTTGGAGGATGGGGGAAAGGGAGGACAAGCAGCACCACGTCTGCCTCTGCTGCGTGACTCTGCCCAACACCATCCGCCCACAGCGCCCCAAGCAGCTCCCTAGTGCAAAAAAGCACAAGGGATGATGAGGGCGGTGTGGGAAACATCTGGGGGGGAGGGTGAGAGGATCGGATGGGGAAAGGACGGATGGGGAGGGATGAGGAGAGGATAGATGGGAAGAGGAGGGAAGTGGTGAGGTGGGATGGGCGGATGGGGAGAGGATGGGAGGGGGTGGGGAGAAGAGGGGATGGTGAGAGGAGGGGATGGGGAGAAGAGGGGACGCGGAGGGAAGGGGAAAGAAGCGGATGTGTATAGGAGGAGATGGGGTGAGGAGGTTGTACCCGGGTGGAGGGGGATGGGAAGTAGGAAGAGGTGGGAAATGGCGACGTGCGAAGATGCCACGGGGTGCGGCGGAGATGGGGTGAGGCATGGGGAGATGAGGGATGGATGGATGATCGATGGAGAGGTGAGGCATGGGGACATGAGGGATGGGGAGGTGAGGGATGGGGAGTGAACGTAGGCGACGGCGACGAGACACATGCATTTTCACACCATTTTTCGCACCTGGCTTCGCTTTCTAACCCCCTTCCAACCACCAAACTCGTGGTGAAGTGTCGCACAGTTAGGTGACGAATGTTGAAGCTCGTCGCTGCCTGGTTTCGCTTTCGCACCTGTTCAGTTGTCGAAAATTTATTTTTATGCCTTTCGCGAACACGATTAAAGCCCTCGAATCACTGTTGCAAAAACCATGCTGACCTCGGGCTTTAACCCATCTACCGGTATCAGAATTAAAGCACACAGCCAAGGACCCACGAGGGCACCAACCCATGAACCCATCATTAACCCATCTACCGGTATCAGACTTAAAGCACACAGCCAAGGGGCCAACAGGGCGTCAACCTGTTATGAGGCGACTCAAAAGGCGATTTCCAAGTCCACAAAAAAGGCGACTTCCAAGTCCACTCAAAAGGCACTGACAAGGGCTCACTAGGGCTCAATCCATCACGAATCTAACAAGCAAGCAAGTATTATTTCTTCTTCCCCTTGCCTCCCTTTCCCCCTCCTTTTCCCGTCCCCTTGGCGCTCAGTTGAGCGGCTCTAGCAGCAGCAGCAGCTTTGGCATCCTCCCTCTTCTTCTTCTCCTCCTCCCTCCTCGCTGCTGCTGCCTCCCTCTCTGCTCTCAACTCACTGCCAGAGACGGGAAAGTGGAATGGGATTCGAGGCAAGAACGACTTTTGAGGAGAGTTTTGAGGCGCCTCAAAAGCTGCCTCTCTCTCTCTCTGCTCTCAACTCACTGCCGGAGACAGGGAAAGATGGAATGTGATTCGAGGCAAGAACGTGAAAGAGAAGAGGAAGGTGATGAGAAGGAATGGGGGAACGGGGAGAACTTAGAAGAAATGGTAAGGAGTGCAAAAAAGAACAAAAAAAAAAAAAAAGATCATGCTGACAGAGAGATGTGGAGGAAAAAGAATAAAAAAAGGCGAGCCAATGGGAGCAAGACGAAAAAAACGGGAACAAGGCACGGGAGAAAAGACGTGGATGGAGGAAACATGTCGATAATGGTTGTGGAAACATTATTCATAAAACGGGAACAAGGCTGTGGAAAAGAGAAGGGTTGTATGAATAATGTGCAGTGGACGCATTAAACTCAGTGGACGGATGACTTTTGAGGCGCCTCAGAAGGGTTGTATGAATGATGTGCAGTGGACGGAATAAATGTAGTGGATGCAGTGCAGTGAGTGCTTTTTTACAAGCACGTTTCCCCCCGACAGTACCTGCTTTGAAAAGTCAGGAAACGTGCACGCATTTCTTATGAGTGATCTAGCAGTTTGCAACTCACTCCCTCCTCTCACCCACTCCCTCCTCTCACCCACTCCCTCCTCTCACCCACTGCCTCCTCTCACCCACTCCCTCCTCTCACCCACTCCCTCTTCTCACTCACTTTCTCCTCTCACTCTCTCTCTCCTCTGCCAACCTAGTCTGCCATTCTTCGAAGCACAAATGGCGTGAATTGTCTACTGGACCAAAAAAAAAGTTACTCTTAGCATGCCACCTCTCCTCGCACCTTCTCCTCTCTCTCACCATCCTCTCACTAATTTATCTCTCACGCACTCTTCTCTCGCACCATTCACTCATCATCTCTCCTCTCTCCTACTCACTCTAGTCGGCTCTTCTCAGCAGCAGCAGTGGAGACAGAGCCTCTGACAGTCGGACTGCTATAAGACAGCTCATGAATCCACTAGCCATTGTTGTCTCGCTTCCTCTCCTCCTCTCACTCACTCTAGCCGCCCCTTCTCAGCAGCAGCTGTCGAAACGGAGCCTCTGGGGGGCCGAACAGCCATGAGCTCCACTTCAAACACCAATGTGGCGCTGCCACATCGACCAGTGGGAGACAGAGGCGGATAAGAGTTTGAGTTGCTTCGTAAACGGAGGAAATAAAAATGCAAAAAGCACGTGTGGTCTCATCTCCGGGCACACGAAGAGATAGAAACAGGGTATGTACAATTCGTACCGTACGAACATGCATGCGTGGACAAACCCTGGGATGGATGTACGGATGCATCGGCATGTATGGGCATGTGGAGCATGTACGGGCATGTATGAGCATGTATGATATGGGCATGTATGGGCATGTAAGGGCATGTAAGGGCATGTATGAACATACCCTGGAGGTATTTCGGGAGGAGAACCAGCATCTCCATATGCATAGTCTGATTGACACGTCAGCTCTGCCAGCTCACCCACCTGACGTCAGCACACGTATTTAGGTCAGGTAAGTGAAAAGGGTGCAAGTGAGAGAGGAGGAACAAGGAAATGAACAAACACGTTCGTACTCACAACAGTACTGTGATCTTGATTAGGATGTCTCATGCGAGAATCACTGAGTATAATTACTATATTAGGGTGGTTGCCCTTCAAAACCAATCAATGTTTTCTGCCAGCCAGTATAAAGACAAAAGGCAAAAGGCACGACTCACCTTCATGCTCTTGATGCCGATATCCCATGCGCGAATAACCTTCCCCTTGCCCACTTCAAACGTGAACACTGCATTGTCCTCCCGCGAGCTGTCAAACACCTCGCCCCTTGTCAATCTCCCCTCATAGTGCACTGAATACGGAAGGTGGGGAGGGGGAAAGAGGTGGGTTTGTGAGTGCGGCCGTCAGTGCGGTGAACACTGCATTGTCCTCCCGCGAGCTGTCAATCACCTCGCCCGTGGTCAGCCGCCCCTCCTAGTGCACTGGAGTCAGGAGGGAAGGGGAGCAGGGGGAGAGAAGCGTGAGGGTGCGTCAGAGGGAGGTGGTGTCAATCAAGTCAAACACCTCGCCCGTGGTCAGCCGCCCCTCCTAGTGCACTGCATGCGGAAGGAAGGAAGCGGCAGGGAGGATGGTTGGGGCGGGAATGAGGGCGTGGAGGGGAATAGGGTTGGGTTGGGAGCACTGCATTGTTCTCTCTTGAGCTGTCAAACACCTCGCCCGTTGTCAATCGCCCCTCGTAGTGCACTGCATACAGAAGGTGGGGAGGGAGAAAGAGGTGGGTTTGTGAGTGCGGACGTGTGGTGAGCACTGCATTGACCTCCCTCGAGCTGTCAAATACCTCTCCCGTGGTCAGCCTTCCTTCTTAGTGGACTGGATACAGGATTGGTTGGAGGGAGGAGGGGATTGGGTTGGGTTGGGAACACTGCATTGTTCTCTCTCGAGCTGTCAAATACCTCGCCCGTGGTCAGCCTCCCCTCGTAGTGCACTGGAGTCAGGAGGGAGGGGGAGGTGAGGAAGGGGCGAACGGGATGTGAGTGAGCGAGGCAGGGAGGGGGATTGTGGAGTGAACGCTGCATTGTTCTTCCGCGAGCTGTCAAACACCTCCCTGGTGGTCAGCTGGCCCCTAGTAGTTCACTGGAAACAGGTGGGAGGGAGGGGGAGGTGAGGAAGAGGAGAAGGGCTTGTGAGTGAGCGAGGCTGGGAGTTGGGCCGTGCAGTGAAGACAGCGTTGTCCTCCCGCGAGCTGTCAAACACCTCCCGGTCGTAAGCTGGCCCCTAGTAGCGCACTGGAAACAGGAGGGAGGGAGAAAGACGCGGCGGCGGAGAGAGGGAGCGAGGAGATGCGCTGGGGGACCACAACGGAGAGAAAGGGTAATGAGATAGCAACGTGTGAAAAGAAGTGCTTTGAGACGTCTCGAAACACTTCTTTTTACACGGGGTGATGAGATAGCATTGTCCTTCCCCGACCCGTCCACCACCTCCCCTCCCCGGCGGTCAGCCGCAGCTCACAGTGGACTGTAGACCGGTGGAGGGGAGGGGAGGGGGTGGCTGACCGCCGGGGAGGGGAGGTGGTGACCGCCGCTCACAGTGGACTGTAGACCGGTGGAGGGGAGGGAGGTGGAATAGGAAAATTGGTTGGATAGACATGGTACACTTATTTCCGGATTAAAATAACGCCACGTCAACCCTCGCGCACGCACTCCACTCAAATGAAATCCCGTAATTTAACATAAAGGAATGAACAATCAATGCTGGGTTACCCGGCAAAGAACTGATATCGCACCATCTGCAATCGGGTACGCATCCGACGGCTGCAGCGCGTCGGGTTTAGCGGCGCGGAGAATTTTCTTCACCACGCCGCCATCGCCGCTTAAATCCATTATGCGGGCGCGAATCGACGAGTCGCTGGTGCACGGCACTCTTAGCGCTACTAACAGAGCTCGAACGTCAGCAGGAGAGCTAAAAAGCTAAGTTACTAAGGTAAGCCCGCGCTTACCCACTGCTGAAGTGTGCAGAGTAATACGCGAATCAGTGTGATGAGGATGACCAGGAAGGCGGGTGATGACGTAGGTGATGGGGAATGCAGGAGGAGGGACTGCCGAATTTAGGGCTCCGGCTACTGGCTGAAAAAAGCGGGAAAAGCACCCGTTGGACTGACTGACAGCAGCCCGCAGCAGTCGAAATCCCAAAGCACGATGGGAGGCAAAGAATGCTGCTGATCCGCGTTGCTGAAACACTCGCGTTACTCTTTTGAAAACGTTTTTTTTGAGAGCTCTCGAAACAATATATTGTGATTTGATTAGCATACGGTTCTGCAAGAATGAAAACTTGATGAAAACTTCGTGTTACCGTACCAAGAAAAAGCCACTGCTAAATAATGCTGAAGATCCTGCCATGGGCACTGGTAAGGTAACGTAGAACGGTATGATAAATGGGTGATTCACTATGCCAATCAGCCATTCGAACTGTAATGTGTTTTGAATTCCAAGTCAGTCATTTGTTGCAGCAGACTTTCCGAGTCGTTCTAATAATGCATCTGGTGTCATGAAGAATGGAATCCACTGCCCTGGAATGTACTTCAGCTGGTGAAACCTGCAAAGCACATAATGATCAGACCGTTTGAATTTTAGCACACCATGTCATTGCATTGTTTTGGACTGAGATAACTGATTCCTGCTCCCGACAGCGAGAGGACTGGACTAAACACTTGGCCTTGGTGGGTCCATCCATTCTCTGGAAACACTCTGACTCTCTTGCGATGGAGGCGGAGACGAATTAACATTCACTCGCTGCCCATGGGAAAACCTGAAACACGAGAGGAGCCAGCTCCTAGTTGCAGCATTCCGCTCCATGCAATATGCACTCTGTGCCCGGAATATTTCTGTCCATGCACCTCACCTCACCGCAAGGACTCTCAAAATGCATCGGAAGAAAGAGCTCCGCGCATTGCTCACCAGGAGTGGAAGGGGAGAGCGAAGCAGTGCAGGTGGAGGTGGTTGATGCTGTTGAACGGCGGGCGGTGGAAGCCAAAGCTGGTGGGGGGGAGAGACGGGGGCCAGGAACAGAGTCAATAGTGCAGGTGAAAGAGGTTGAAGGGGAGAGTGAGCAGTGCAGGTGGAGGTGGTTGATGCTGTTGAACGGCGGACGGTGGAAGCCAAAGCTGGCAGGGGGGCACGGAGAGAGGGGGGCACGAGCGAATGGGCGAGCGAAGCAGTGCAGGTGGAGGGGGTTGAATGGGCGAGCGAAGCAGTGCAGGTGGAGGGGGTTGAATGGGCGAGCGAAGCAGTGCAGGTGGAGGGGGTTGAATGGGCGAGCGAAGCAGTGCAGGTGGAGGGGGTTGAATGGGCGAGCGAAGCAGTGCAGGTGGAGGGGGTTGAATGGGCGAGCGAAGCAGTGCAGGTGGAGGGGGTTGAATGGGCGAGCGAAGCAGTGCAGGTGGAGGGGGTTGAATGGGCGAGCGAAGCAGTGCAGGTGGAGGGGGTTGAATGGGCGAGCGAAGCAGTGCAGGTGGAGGGGGTTGAATGGGCGAGCGAAGCAGTGCAGGTGGAGGGGGTTGAATGGGCGAGCGAAGCAGTGCAGGTGGAGGGGGTTGAATGGGCGAGCGAAGCAGTGCAGGTGGAGGGGGTTGCATGGGCGAGCGAAGCAGTGCAGGTGGAGGGGGTTGAATGGGCGAGCGAAGCAGTGCAGGTGGAGGGGGTTGCATGGGCGAGCGAAGCAGTGCAGGTGGAGGGGGTTGAATGGGCGAGCGAAGCAGTGCAGGTGGAGGGGGTTGAATGGGCGAGCGAAGCAGTGCAGGTGGAGGGGGTTGCATGGGCGAGCGAAGCAGTGCAGGTGGAGGGGGTTGAATGGGCGAGCGAAGCAGTGCAGGTGGAGGGGGTTGCATGGGCGAGCGAAGCAGTGCAGGTGGAGGGGGTTGAATGGGCGAGCGAAGCAGTGCAGGTGGAGGGGGTTGAATGGGCGAGCGAAGCAGTGCAGGTGGAGGGGGTTGAATGGGCGAGCGAAGCAGTGCAGGTGGAGGGGGTTGAATGGGCGAGCGAAGCAGTGCAGGTGGAGGGGGTTGAATGGGCGAGCGAAGCAGTGCAGGTGGAGGGGGTTGAATGGGCGAGCGAAGCAGTGCAGGTGGAGGGGGTTGCATGGGCGAGCGAAGCAGTGCAGGTGGAGGGGGTTGAATGGGCGAGCGAAGCAGTGCAGGTGGAGGGGGTTGAATGGGCGAGCGAAGCAGTGCAGGTGGAGGGGGTTGAATGGGCGAGCGAAGCAGTGCAGGTGGAGGGGGTTGAATGGGCGAGCGAAGCAGTGCAGGTGGAGGGGGTTGAATGGGCGAGCGAAGCAGTGCAGGTGGAGGGGGTTGAATGGGCGAGCGAAGCAGTGCAGGTGGAGGGGGTTGCATGGGCGAGCGAAGCAGTGCAGGTGGAGGGGGTTGAATGGGCGAGCGAAGCAGTGCAGGTGGAGGGGGTTGCATGGGCGAGCGAAGCAGTGCAGGTGGAGGGGGTTGAATGGGCGAGCGAAGCAGTGCAGGTGGAGGGGGTTGAATGGGCGAGCGAAGCAGTGCAGGTGGAGGGGGTTGCATGGGCGAGCGAAGCAGTGCAGGTGGAGGGGGTTGAATGGGCGAGCGAAGCAGTGCAGGTGGAGGGGGTTGAATGGGCGAGCGAAGCAGTGCAGGTGGAGGGGGTTGCATGGGCGAGCGAAGCAGTGCAGGTGGAGGGGGTTGAATGGGCGAGCGAAGCAGTGCAGGTGGAGGGGGTTGCATGGGCGAGCGAAGCAGTGCAGGTGGAGGGGGTTGAATGGGCGAGCGAAGCAGTGCAGGTGGAGGGGGTTGAATGGGCGAGCGAAGCAGTGCAGGTGGAGGGGGTTGAATGGGCGAGCGAAGCAGTGCAGGTGGAGGGGGTTGAATGGGCGAGCGAAGCAGTGCAGGTGGAGGGGGTTGAATGGGCGAGCGAAGCAGTGCAGGTGGAGGGGGTTGAATGGGCGAGCGAAGCAGTGCAGGTGGAGGGGGTTGCATGGGCGAGCGAAGCAGTGCAGGTGGAGGGGGTTGAATGGGCGAGCGAAGCAGTGCAGGTGGAGGGGGTTGAATGGGCGAGCGAAGCAGTGCAGGTGGAGGGGGTTGAATGGGCGAGCGAAGCAGTGCAGGTGGAGGGGGTTGAATGGGCGAGCGAAGCAGTGCAGGTGGAGGGGGTTGAATGGGCGAGCGAAGCAGTGCAGGTGGAGGGGGTTGAATGGGCGAGCGAAGCAGTGCAGGTGGAGGGGGTTGCATGGGCGAGCGAAGCAGTGCAGGTGGAGGGGGTTGAATGGGCGAGCGAAGCAGTGCAGGTGGAGGGGGTTGCATGGGCGAGCGAAGCAGTGCAGGTGGAGGGGGTTGAATGGGCGAGCGAAGCAGTGCAGGTGGAGGGGGTTGAATGGGCGAGCGAAGCAGTGCAGGTGGAGGGGGTTGCATGGGCGAGCGAAGCAGTGCAGGTGGAGGGGGTTGAATGGGCGAGCGAAGCAGTGCAGGTGGAGGGGGTTGCATGGGCGAGCGAAGCAGTGCAGGTGGAGGGGGTTGAATGGGCGAGCGAAGCAGTGCAGGTGGAGGGGGTTGAATGGGCGAGCGAAGCAGTGCAGGTGGAGGGGGTTGCATGGGCGAGCGAAGCAGTGCAGGTGGAGGGGGTTGAATGGGCGAGCGAAGCAGTGCAGGTGGAGGGGGTTGCATGGGCGAGCGAAGCAGTGCAGGTGGAGGGGGTTGAATGGGCGAGCGAAGCAGTGCAGGTGGAGGGGGTTGAATGGGCGAGCGAAGCAGTGCAGGTGGAGGGGGTTGAATGGGCGAGCGAAGCAGTGCAGGTGGAGGGGGTTGAATGGGCGAGCGAAGCAGTGCAGGTGGAGGGGGTTGAATGGGCGAGCGAAGCAGTGCAGGTGGAGGGGGTTGAATGGGCGAGCGAAGCAGTGCAGGTGGAGGGGGTTGCATGGGCGAGCGAAGCAGTGCAGGTGGAGGGGGTTGAATGGGCGAGCGAAGCAGTGCAGGTGGAGGGGGTTGAATGGGCGAGCGAAGCAGTGCAGGTGGAGGGGGTTGAATGGGCGAGCGAAGCAGTGCAGGTGGAGGGGGTTGAATGGGCGAGCGAAGCAGTGCAGGTGGAGGGGGTTGAATGGGCGAGCGAAGCAGTGCAGGTGGAGGGGGTTGAATGGGCGAGCGAAGCAGTGCAGGTGGAGGGGGTTGCATGGGCGAGCGAAGCAGTGCAGGTGGAGGGGGTTGAATGGGCGAGCGAAGCAGTGCAGGTGGAGGGGGTTGAATGGGCGAGCGAAGCAGTGCAGGTGGAGGGGGTTGAATGGGCGAGCGAAGCAGTGCAGGTGGAGGGGGTTGAATGGGCGAGCGAAGCAGTGCAGGTGGAGGGGGTTGAATGGGCGAGCGAAGCAGTGCAGGTGGAGGGGGTTGCATGGGCGAGCGAAGCAGTGCAGGTGGAGGGGGTTGAATGGGCGAGCGAAGCAGTGCAGGTGGAGGGGGTTGAATGGGCGAGCGAAGCAGTGCAGGTGGAGGGGGTTGAATGGGCGAGCGAAGCAGTGCAGGTGGAGGGGGTTGAATGGGCGAGCGAAGCAGTGCAGGTGGAGGGGGTTGAATGGGCGAGCGAAGCAGTGCAGGTGGAGGGGGTTGAATGGGCGAGCGAAGCAGTGCAGGTGGAGGGGGTTGCATGGGCGAGCGAAGCAGTGCAGGTGGAGGGGGTTGAATGGGCGAGCGAAGCAGTGCAGGTGGAGGGGGTTGCATGGGCGAGCGAAGCAGTGCAGGTGGAGGGGGTTGAATGGGCGAGCGAAGCAGTGCAGGTGGAGGGGGTTGAATGGGCGAGCGAAGCAGTGCAGGTGGAGGGGGTTGAATGGGCGAGCGAAGCAGTGCAGGTGGAGGGGGTTGAATGGGCGAGCGAAGCAGTGCAGGTGGAGGGGGTTGAATGGGCGAGCGAAGCAGTGCAGGTGGAGGGGGTTGAATGGGCGAGCGAAGCAGTGCAGGTGGAGGGGGTTGCATGGGCGAGCGAAGCAGTGCAGGTGGAGGGGGTTGAATGGGCGAGCGAAGCAGTGCAGGTGGAGGGGGTTGAATGGGCGAGCGAAGCAGTGCAGGTGGAGGGGGTTGCATGGGCGAGCGAAGCAGTGCAGGTGGAGGGGGTTGAATGGGCGAGCGAAGCAGTGCAGGTGGAGGGGGTTGAATGGGCGAGCGAAGCAGTGCAGGTGGAGGGGGTTGCATGGGCGAGCGAAGCAGTGCAGGTGGAGGGGGTTGCATGGGCGAGCGAAGCAGTGCAGGTGGAGGGGGTTGAATGGGCGAGCGAAGCAGTGCAGGTGGAGGGGGTTGAATGGGCGAGCGAAGCAGTGCAGGTGGAGGGGGTTGAATGGGCGAGCGAAGCAGTGCAGGTGGAGGGGGTTGCATGGGCGAGCGAAGCAGTGCAGGTGGAGGGGGTTGAATGGGCGAGCGAAGCAGTGCAGGTGGAGGGGGTTGAATGGGCGAGCGAAGCAGTGCAGGTGGAGGGGGTTGAATGGGCGAGCGAAGCAGTGCAGGTGGAGGGGGTTGCATGGGCGAGCGAAGCAGTGCAGGTGGAGGGGGTTGAATGGGCGAGCGAAGCAGTGCAGGTGGAGGGGGTTGAATGGGCGAGCGAAGCAGTGCAGGTGGAGGGGGTTGAATGGGCGAGCGAAGCAGTGCAGGTGGAGGGGGTTGAATGGGCGAGCGAAGCAGTGCAGGTGGAGGGGGTTGAATGGGCGAGCGAAGCAGTGCAGGTGGAGGGGGTTGAATGGGCGAGCGAAGCAGTGCAGGTGGAGGGGGTTGAATGGGCGAGCGAAGCAGTGCAGGTGGAGGGGGTTGAATGGGCGAGCGAAGCAGTGCAGGTGGAGGGGGTTGCATGGGCGAGCGAAGCAGTGCAGGTGGAGGGGGTTGAATGGGCGAGCGAAGCAGTGCAGGTGGAGGGGGTTGAATGGGCGAGCGAAGCAGTGCAGGTGGAGGGGGTTGAATGGGCGAGCGAAGCAGTGCAGGTGGAGGGGGTTGAATGGGCGAGCGAAGCAGTGCAGGTGGAGGGGGTTGAATGGGCGAGCG